TGTTTTCATGGCGACCAGGACGCTGCGACGCCCCCATAGCCGGCTGAGCGCAGGGAGACTGCGCACGCCCGCCCCTCTGGGTGTTGGAGCGGCACCTCTCCTTCCCCTTCCGGTCCCCGCGGCGGTTCGGTTGCTTAGCGAGGAGCGAGGTTTCGGTCACCCGGGACGATGTCCAGGTGGGGCGTGGCGTCCTGGGGCGAGGCCGGGGCTGCAAAACTGCAGGACTGAGAGTCGCCGGGCCGTCGTGGCTGGGCGCACCTCGCTCTGCCCGCACCTCGGAAGCCGTGGTGGTCCATGTGTGCTGGGCGTCTTGGCTCTGGTCCTCAAAAAGTGCGCAGACAGACGCGAGCCGGCCAGGGGATTTCCAGTGGCTTGGGGAGCGTGTTTGGAATCTGTGCTTTAACTCCAACTTTTACGCTTGGAGTCTCCTCGTCTTGTGGCTGACTTGATGTGGGCTTCTGGAGGGTGAGCGGTACAGGCTGACAGAAGCAGTTTTGAGCGCAGCCTGTGTGCCAGGCCCTGTACTAGACATGAGTGGTTTTCATTTCATCCTCGCAACACCCCTGTGGGAACTGTTGGTAAAGTGGCGAAGTTAGATGACCAGGGAGTAGAGGGGCCGAGACTCCAATCCGGACAGTGAACCACGATGCTATGAACTGGTGAAAGAAAGCCACGGATCTTTAAAAGATTTTATTTGCTAGATGACATTATGGTTATACTCAACATACATCAGGTTGCAGTCTATAAGGAAACGAAGTTAGGTCCCAGGGACAAACAAAATTAACCCAGGGTCCAGACATAAAGGATTTGTTACTAAAAAAAGGAATACATAATTCCTTCTTACAAAAGATCAAGAACAATTTCGTAAGTCTATGATCCCTTCAAATAAAAAACCTGGTTCCAAACCATGTAGCTTCAATTCTGAACATGTAATTTTCATACCGTCTGAAGGGAGCAGTTAAATTCAGATTTGAGACCAGTGGGTGGCATGGTGGTTAAGGTGCTGGACACTCCCACATGGTTGACCACAATTTGAGTCTTGGACCTGGTGGCTTGCTTTCTCACTTTCCCTCTCCTTTCTCTCTCTGTGTCTCTTTCTGGTCAAATTAAAATAAAATAATTATTTTTTAAAAATCAGATTTGTAATTCTGAATTAAGAACTGTTTCTTCACTGTGCAGAATTAGAGCTGTTTTTCCCTCTCTCAACTGAATTCACAGTTGTTAGCCTTAACAGCTGGTTGTTAGAGTTGCCTTATCATTTGGTCTGTGCTCTACCATCACCAAGCTATTTCCCTGATAATATAATGTACCCAGTGTCTAAAAACTAACAGCTGTTCAGATCTGAAGGTCTGTAGGCACCCGCCTACCAATGAGGTTGTTCATCAGGGACACTAAATGATTTGGAGGACAGACAGTAGAATTATTGCAGGTTCTAACAAAGTCAGGCTCAAAGGACAACTCCCCCAAAGAATCAGGAGTGTTTGGGATATCAAGTCGTTGGGAGTCTCTCCGTGAAGGAGGAACAGTTTTGGTTGTGCCCTCTTTGAGGTTCTGTTTGGGAGGTGAGCCCAAGTTTTCATCTTCCATAGAGGAACCCCACCTAGCACTGACCCTCCTCAGTTTCCAGCTGCAGTGAGCTGGCAGGGAGAAAGTTGTTTGGGGTGACTGCCCCATGTGATTTTCCAGATCTATAACAACACCTGGAATAGAACAGTGGTCTCTAGAGTAGTGATTTCTTTTGCTGCCTTTGGCATTCATTTCTCTTTTTTCCCTTAACTGCTTATCATTAACTTCTTTTTCAAATATCTTGTGATTGTCTTTGTTGTTATTCGAGCCAATGTGTCCAAGAGGACTGCAGGAAGTACTGAGTGTGCACATCTCATTAGAAAGTACAGTTTCCTGTTCATCCACAATACACTTCTCATTATTTACACTGTGATTGTCCGGGTCTGCTTGAAATGCAGAAGATGAATTTAAGCTAGGATACACCGCTGGGTGCGTTTGCTTTTCCACTACCAGATTATAATCGGGAGCAGAGGGGAGTCGCTTCAGTGAATTTGCAGACGTGCCCTCATATTTGGCTAGATTTTGTTTTGACTTGTTTGCATAGAATTCATTGTGTTCCACCTTCAATTTATTTTGTCCCCAAAGTCCTCTTTTAATCTTTTTAAAACCTAGGTGGAAAATTTCTAGCATGTTTAAGAAAAGTGAAATAGTGGCTATGAATTGCATAAATAATAGAAATATTGTCTTTTCTGTTGGTCTTGAGACAAAACAATCAATTATATTTGGACACGGGTAGCCATGGCATTTAAATAGAGGCTCTAAATGAAATCCATATAAAAGGTACTGTCCAATCATGAACCCAACTTCAACCACAGAGCGAGTGAAGATGTGTATCACGTACGTGCAAAGCAGGGTTCCTCTGAGGGGAGCTTTATTTAGTTTCCTTTGCTCCAACTGACAAAGCTCTCGCTCCAGTCTCCTCCGATCCCCCAACATTTCAAACTCTATCCCCTCCAGTTCTGCTCTTAACTGAGCTTTCATCCTCTGTCTCTCCTTCTCTAGAACCCTCAAGCGGTACAAAGCATGGCCCATGTAGACTAGGGATGGCGAAGACACAAATATCACCTGCAGAACCCAGTACCTAATGAGGGAGATAGGAAAGGCCTGGTCGTAGCATACATTTCTGCAGCCCGGTTGTTCTGTATTGCAGATGAAGCCCGACTGCTCATCATTCCAGACATCTTCAGCTGCTACACCCAGAACAAGCATTCGAAATATGAACAGGATGGTGAGCCAGATCTTTCCAATCATGGTAGAGTGGATGTGAACTTCCTCCAGAATACCTCCAAGGAGATTCCAGTCCCCCATGTTTATTTAGTCAGCCATCTTAGCTCTGAACCTCATCACACAGGCAGATGCCTTCTTCCATTCTGAGGGGAGCACTATTTCTTAAAGCAAACCTATGGCCAAAACATGAACAGAGCATCACTCTGTCCATGTGTGGGTTGCTTTCCTTTTTTTCCTCGATAGCAGCGATAATCTGTCACCAGAAAGATGTCAGGAATTTAAAATCACTTACACGTAGACATCATAATGCAGTGAGAAAAAGTGGTCATCTGGGGGTGGAGCATGCGTGTTCTCTACTAAGAGAATAGGACTCCCAATCAGGAGTCCTCTTACGTAGCCGAGGTTAGCCCGTTTTTTAAGCCAGGGGCTTCTGGGAAGGTTCTGAGACCACTGACTTGATTTTACAGACCTACCTGGTAACAGTATTTTACGTAAAAGTTATAGTCCAAGTCAATGATTTTAAAACCCCATCTATACGGGAGTTTAATTTAACAACACAAAGGAAAACGATGGTCCTTCATTAAAATACAGCATTTAATGAAGCCAGAAGAGAGAGGTCTGAATTTTGCTACAGAAATTTAGATTCTTTTTTTTTTTAATCCACATGTGACTATCTACACTCTGATTTCTTTCTGGCAATTGAACATTTTCAGAAATCTATTTCAGTAATACTTAGGAATATTTATAAAATTGTTACTGTATTTTGAAAATTTTGCTTATGTTAAAAGGAACTCTCAAAATTCTCCATTACTTTATGGCATCCGAATGTTATTAGATTTTTACTGACAATATCAAATTGACCTTTGGTGTAGTGGTGGTATTATAGAAAATTTTTATTCTAACAATTTTTGACCTACTTAAGACATGTCATTTACTTTTTTTTTTTTTAAGGGAAAAGTGGGGCAAGTTAAAATATGCCTATGTGGATTGTCTACCAGTAGGTTCCATATGAAAGATGATATCCTTAGATACCTTAGAGGAAATCCTAATATACCCAGAAGAAAGATAAAAAGAGTGAATGTTTTTATTCGCTTTCAGTTCAAATATAAATGAGTTTGTCCTGTATCCCTTATATAAAAGGAAGTATCACACGACCAAAGTACTGGGATACTGTAGCTGTATGGAGTGGTCATTACAAAAACCCTCTGAGAGAACTATGCTGCGTCTCCCACTTTACAGTGAGGAAACAGGTGCATCATCATTCCCCAAGGTCACAAGCTGGGGCAGCACTCAATCCCAGCCAGTGTGGCTCTAGAGTCCGCTCTTCACTGTTTACTAAACTGTAATTTACCTTTCTGAGCATCCTTGAAACGTGCATGTAACCCTAAGAGGTCATCTGTTTTCTCTTAATAGTTTACTTAAATGTAGAAATATCAAATAGCGATAGTTGGAGCTTTATAAAGAACTTGTTTTAGAATCTTTAGTTCCTTTTTTAAAGCTCTGTCTAGCTTCTAAGACTGCAAAAGCATCAACCTTCTAAAAAGTTAGTTGTATACCTAAAATAGAGAACATTTCTATTAACTTTATCATTTTGCTAGCTGTATACTCTAACCCAGCAGTCCAGAGCACTTTAAATGTAAGCAAGGATGTTATCCGTATTCTTTACATTAGTCAGAAATTGAAAATACTCAAAAATAATTATCAGTACAAGAAAGACTGGTTAAATAAATAATCATACATCCACAGTGCAATCTTATACAACCAGTCAAATGATAATTATGTACTGCCATAAAAAGACATTTGATATAGATCAGTGAAATTCAGATTATAAAATAGAATAGTATGGCCCAGTTATTGTAAATGTCTCTATATGTAGAATACATACAAAAAAGTCTAAAAAGATATTCATCAAAATATTAATTATAATTATCTCTGGATGGTGGGGTTACAATTGCCTTCATTTCTTATAATTATATGTACTTTCATTTTTTACTGGTAACTACTTTATAATCACAAAAAAAAAAATTTTTTTTCTTGAAAGGAAAACAACATAGTGTTTCCCAAAAGAAGGATAATTATCAATTTTTTTCTTGAAAGGACAAGAGCATAGTGTTTCCCAAAAGAAGGATAATTATCTAGCTACAAATTAAACTTTCAGAGTAAATGATACAAAAGCTTATACAGAGAGATGCAGTACCAGAGAATTCAAAAGCAAAAGATTAAAACATTTCAAACCACTCTCTTAATGAGCTCAAACAGATTAACACAAACCTTTCCTAGTGTA